AAACAGCCCCATGTGGGTACAGGCACATGATGGATCTGCTCCTCTCCAGCTGAAAGAGGCCAGAGCTGCAGCAGGGGAGGGGGAGAGGAGCGGGGCCCTCCAGAGCTGAATTACTCCATTATATGGGATCAAGAGAAGCATCTCTCTGTCCAAGAGCGGCGGGTACAAGCAGTGCTATTTTGTACCCGCTGCAACTGGTGTACTGATCTCCTGCATTGCTGACACCTACAGAAACCCAACACCCCCCACACTTGCAAGGTTCCCCCAATCCTACTGCATTTCTTTGCAAAAAGAGAAACTAAGAAAAACCAGCACCAGGGAGCAGTCAAAGTCCAAGCCAAACCCAGGCCAAGTGAGAAAAGCAAATCCCCCCTTGGCCTCCCCTCCAGGATGCAAATAACGAGCCTCCTGTGAGAGCTACCACGGGCTGAGAGACCTCCTGGACGCTGAGCTGTGTCCTCCAGCAAACAGAGCAGCAAGAGGCTCCAGACCAGCTGGTACACTCAGCACTTCCCTGCAGCTTTTACATAAAGAGCCCGAGTTCATTAAACCACTGGCCTGTGTGTTATTGCCAAGGCTGCGGCACAGGTCCCACACATCCCCCAGCAGCTCATGGGTGCTCGCTGCCTCCCATTTGCTGCTCAGCCCTGGCCAGTCCCAGCAAAAGGCTTTCCCAGAGCATGGATGGCACTGCTTGAGCGGGGACAAGCACTGCGCCAGCAGGGTCCTCCGCAGAAAAAACACCCGTTACCAACCTATGGATGCTCCAAAAGCAAGACTGAGCCCTCCACACCCTGGACACTGCTTTGATGAGGGGTAAGAAGGGAAATTAAGGATGAGACCAGTGCCTTAAATAAGTGCCATATGCTTTGAAGCAGGCATCTGGGTTATTTCAGGGCCTGCCTCCTTTCTCATACAACATACACCCTTAAAAAAAAAACCCACAACCAAACAGCGTGTAATACAAGCAACAGCTAATGCTACAGAGGACACGCTGCCTCCTCACTGACTTCAGTGCAAACGTATGTGGGTGGAGAAGTGCGGAGTCGCTCTTCGATGCTTAAAGAGCAATCCAAACCTCGATAGTTTTGCAAGCCTCCTCTCCCCTTCCCCCCCACGTGTCCTCAAAGAGCACAGCTCGCTGTTTTTAAAGTTACTGCTCAGGATGTGGGAAGGGAGAGCACGAGGAGGGTTGTTTTTCAGGCTGAGCCTGCCTCCCTGTACCATCCCCCCAGATGCCAGCACTGCTGTGGCCCCGCTGGAACATGGGCCACTCGCCAGGGACCCGCAAGATGGAGAGGCCTTTGGCTGTGCGACCGTGGGGACACCAGGGATCCTCCCTCAACCCGAGTCAACACTACAGGGCTGGATAAGAACCTCTGCCAAGTGCGCTGGGGGCTGCTCCACCTTGCTTTTTTTAAATTATTTTTTGACACACAGGTTCTAGAAGGAGAGGTAACAGCATTGCTGTAAGGAGAGGGGAATGCAGGAACATAAGGTCCTCTGAGGCAGAGACAAATTCCTCCCCTTCCTCCATTCGTATTCCCTTTGTGCTGCTAGGAGGTGACGTCCCCCTTTGTGGATTAGATGCTCTTGCAGCACTGCAGAAAGGCAGCCCTCCCACCTGAACACAGGGCCTCCCACGGTCCCTGCCCTCCCTCCTGCTCTTTGCTTTCCAGGGCATGAGAAAGAAGGGGGCCACAGCCAGCCCTCACCTGAAAAACAGGCATGTATTCACCCCAGGGGGCTTCTGCATGTTTTTATGCACATGACAGGACCATTCCATACACCACCACAGTACTTGTCCACAGCCACAGTAACCTTTGCTCGTGGCACTTGCTGCTTTTCGCCTGCGACTGGCCAACACTGGCCAGTGAAAGTCACACGCTGGTGGTGCAGGCTGGCAGCTGGGCTGGGCCCATGCTCCTTTGGGGGTCCTTGCTCGGGAATGCTTCTGACTCCCGTAACTCATCTGCACCCCGGGCTCCTGCCATCACCCATCAGAGAGCATGGTCCAGCTCAATGCCCCATGTCCCAAGAGCACAAGACTGCCTCAGCTTCCCCTCCCAGCTGGGTGTCAGACATGCAGGAGGCACCCCAGGGAGCACCCACGAGAACTGGGTGTGCCTCCCCAGAGGCAGCTGCACCCCAAATCGCTTTGCTACCAGACACGGGAGCAGCCTGTCTCTGCCAAACGTTCTTGGCTAGAGTCGTCAGGAAAGGGACAGCTCTGCTCTGAGCAGAGCAGACACCAAGGGACGGCCTGTCTGGCTGAAGCTCCTTCAGGCTCTGTTCAGGAAAGGCCACAGCAGCTGAGAGCTATTCCTGGTGAGCCCGAAAACGCTGTGGCTGAGTCAGCATTGAGGTCCTGCCCTGCTGCTTGTGTCCACGAGGCCATTGCACGACTCCTTAGCAAACCCCCAGCCGCTGCCTCGCTGCAGGGCTGTGCTGTGCCAGAACGCCATGCTGCCAGCGCCGTCGAAGGAGGCAGAGAGACGGACAGGCAGGGACAGGCACGCACGGAGGCAGTCGTAGAGAAGCAGCCCAGCTTCCCCGCTGCTCCACTGGCTCGGACGCGCATCAATGTCATGGCGAGGGCTGCGACAGCAGACAGTTATCTTGCTTCCCCGCGCCGCAGGCTGGAGTGGTGCCAGCCCCCAAGGCTTTTGTTTCCATATCCGCACAGGCCAGAGCAGCAATTGCAAGGGACAGTTTGAAAACTGTCTCTGGTCCTGCCCTCTCCCACCCACATCCCATCGCTCACTCCTCTGCGCCCTCCAGGCATGGGGCAAACATGGCAAGTCCAGGACAGCAACTCCTGAGCTTGTACCAGCCACACAAAGAGCAAGTGCCCCACGAGCGCTGTCCTTGGCTGGGATCCCATGCACAGGGACCGCCCGCCCTCCGTATCTGCTTCCCTGCAGCTGGGAGCCAGAGGCTGAGAGCTCTCAGCGGTTGTGTCCACTTTGACACAAAAAGCAGAAGAGCACAGCTCAGTGACTGTAAGTACCTGGCACACTGCTCCAGACTGACTGCTGGTAGCTGGAACCAGGCTTTTTTCCTGTAATAGCACAGTAGCTTTGCAAGACATAACAGCAATGGCACCACAACACACCTCAGCTTTTGAGCGCAGGACTCCACAGTGCTACAGGACAGATTCTCACTTCAGTTCATTACACCTCTGACACAAGTCATGCACTACCATTTCTTGTCTTCCTTGCCTTAAGCTGCAGAAGCTCTGGAAGCCTTCAGCTGGCCCCTTTTTCACCCATCACATCCCAGGCACATAGTTGGGCAGCTGCCAGCTCCAACACCAGCTCCATCGCAGAGTAGCCAAGCCCTGCCACCCCAGACCTGGGCACCTGCTCAAGTCTCGGGCTGGCAGTCTGCAATACCAGCAGTTGACAGCAGCACTGCACTGAGCAAGGTACAAGAGTCTGGGTCCCAGAAAATTAAGAGCCAAAAGACTAGGGCTTTCCATGAACAGTTTGAGAGCTGGGAAACCAGACTTCAGACATCTTTGAAATTCAGGCCTTCAAAGGGGACATGTCAGAAAGCACTTAGCCATCAATGCATTTTCCTTCCATCCTTCCCAGTCTACACTGGTCCTAGCTGTCAAGGGGATGGCTCCTAAGGGCAATCTCACAAGAATTGACTGCCAAAACAGCTATCAAATTCTCCCAGGGGCTACAAAACTAACAAACAGCACACCCACCTCTACCCAATCCTGTCTCCTGCTTGGCTTTTGCCACTGCTCAGCAGCTTCACCAGGACAGAACCGACCACAATATCACAGCTCTCCCTCGAATCATTAAGTATTAGAAACAGAAGTTGGAAAGTGCATTTTTTTTAGTGCAGTTGCAGGTTTAAACCTCTCCAGAAGTCCACAGTCATTCATGGCCTCCAACTCATCTAAGCTCAACAGCCTGCAGCACCTTATAAAGCCTCTGGGATTTTGCTACCCGAACATTCACAGCTGGGCTCTCTGGCTGCGCTCAGTGCCACATCCAAAATCAGGCAGGAACATTCCTTACTGCCCTCCCAGGCAGTTTACCTCCAACTGCAGCCCCTGGGCTATGAGCCAAGCCAAGAGGCGAGCCAGCCAGCTGTCTCCCTTCCCTGGGACCAGAGAGCAAGCAGTGCTCTTGCCAGTTGCTGCGTGGATGAGGTCGTTCTCCCCTTGACGCTAAAAGCTCTGCTTGAAAAATTGCTGAGCTAGCAGAAACTACCATTTCAGTTTTACCCATTTCCTGTTATAAGATAAAACGGCATCAGAGGGCTGACTCCTGCCACCCTGGGCTTCTGCCATGTTAGTTACAGCTACAGCTACTGCCTTCAGCAGGTGAATACTAGCACATCTTGATTTCAACAGGAGCCAGAAGACAGCATGAATTATTTGTGGTAAGGCTGACCTATTTAACAGCAGAAAGACAGCATTCATTCGAGCCCAGATTCCCCAGAGGCTGCTGGTGTCACTTTACCCCACAGGATAATACAACCCACCACTATCTCTGGGCATGTTGGCTTGCTGGGGGTGTGGAGGTAATTGTCCTAGGCTGTCCCTGCCATGCTCTCAACGTGACACTTCCACATCCCTTTCAGTGCAATCTACTCCTGGTCTGCAACTGGCTTCTACTGACCAGCTTTGATGAGTGTTTGTGACTGTCATTGACAACACACATCAGAAGTGGAACAGAGTGAACCCACAGGGCCTTGAAACATCGAAATCGCTGCTGGCAGCTCCATTTCAGGCAGACCTGGGCCAGAGGATGCAAGCAGTGTTTGCAGGGTGGCTGCCAAGTTCTGCTATTCAGGATGCCTCCTCTGCACAGCCCCTTCTAAGCTCTTGTAGTCTCTAATATTGGCTTCCATCCTCTGTGCACAGGCCATGGCAGCCTGTGAAGGGGTATTTCACATTGAGAAGATGCTGAAGTCTTGGTGATACATTTCTGTAGACATCTCAGAATCACAGAACTCCACCATGTCTCTGTGGAACTTACCTTTGTCTGCCAGAGACAGCGTGCTGTTAAAGTACTGCTCCTCCACAGTCCATGCTGTGTCATTGATCTTGTTAGACACCCCACAGGTTCCAATGCAGCTCACCTTGATGGCTGTTGAGAGAAAGCACACACGTAAGCACTGAAAGCAAAACCTCACACTCAGACTCGCTTCATATACTGTATGTGGATTTGTGCAGGAGCAGTGCCTCATGAAAACACACACAGAGTGGAAAAATGGAGCAAGGGAACCAGGTCATGCTTTCATTTCAGAAGTACATTTTGTCCTTACTCTCAGCACTACTGCACATTCCCTGCTACCCCAGTGCTATTCCCATAAGTCCTCGAGCTGGCCTCCTTGCACTTTGAAAGCCTAAACAGCAGAGATTTCAGCTCCCTGAGAGGTAACCCTCTCTCTAGTTTTCTTCCAAACGAAGCAATATCTCCTCCCAGTATGTGCCTCAACACTCAGGCTGGCAGCAGAGATGCTCTCCAATAGGCTCGGGTGTCCCTGTCCAGACAGGGATGAGTGGTCAAGTGCTCTGCTGCCTCCCACCCCACAAGGAGCTGGGCATCCCTCCGAGCATCCCACCATCCCTGGGAGGAGAGACAGGTCCCACACAAGCCTGTGAGCCAGCTGAACAAGGTGTATAGCCCTGTCTGCAGCAGCAGCAGCAGAGTGCTGGACACCCCAGGGCAGGCTGAATGAGCTCTGCTGCTGCTTGAGTTCACAGCCAGCCACCCCCACAGGACACCCCCAGCTCCTGGAAGCCTGCTCCCGTGTCCCGGGGTCAGTCTCTGCTTCAAAGGATTGCAGCAGAAGCACTTTGCCCGCTAACGCTTGTCCTGGATCAGGACCTCTGATCACCTTGATAAGCATGTTTCTTCTCAGTAGCCAGACACCACTTCAAGTGAGTGGGTTCCTCCTCCTGTTAGAGGCACAGGGCTCACAGCAAAGCCACAGAGCAAGGTCTGGAGGCACTGGAGATGCTATCTGACCCTCCCAAAGCAAGGAGAGTAATTTAAACTGTGTTTGTGCCATGCCTTGGGAAAGTTACCCCAGAGCTCACCCTGCAGCACAGCTTCCACAAGAGTTACATGGCTTTCAGAAGAGCTACACACAAGACATTTTCAGTTAGTCTTGGCCAATTCATAGCAGGTTGAAATAAAGCTCTGATGTCGACACTGGACAGACACAGACAGACAAACGTGACAGACTGCCCTTGTTGCACAGCAGAAGACGATCTTCAGTGCTACCCTCATGCAGGGAGGATGCAGGCAGACCTGTTGCAGCACAAACTGGGCCTTCAGCGTTGTCCCAGCCTGAACATCCTGTACTTATTCTCACCAGTTTTGCAACAGCTTTAATGGATCCCACAAGAATCCCTCACCTGATCTGCCAGGTGAATAGTTCTGCTGGCAGGAAGGTGGCAGGAACTACCAGACACTTCCCCCATTTCACCAATCTGCTCTCCTGTACTCAAGCTGTGTCTCACAGGAAGAATCTCCTTGGGAGGCAGGTGACCAATTTTCGTTGGCTTAAGAGCTCTCCCCACTGCACACACTCCAAAGCTTTCTCAGCCATGCTGATCTTACCACCTCCACCCACCTACCCAAACAATGAAGGCTGTAAGTGATGCTGCTTGCAACCACCTCAAACAGCTCCCCAGAGCACCTGCATGGCCAGAGTGACCTTGTCCTCCACGCTGACTCAAGACAGGGTGGATAGAAACCCAAATCCAGCCCTCTCTGCAGGGAAAAGGCATAGTTCTTACCCCAGGCCCCTTAGCAGTGCTCTTTATCAGGCATGCAGGTGGAATGGGCTCCTCAGGGTTCAACGCCTCTAATCCCACAACGAAGAACACTTTCCCCACCAGATCTCCTACTACACCTTCACAGCCTGATCATGACTTTGAACACCTGAGCCTGTTGCAGGCAAAGTGCTGTTTTATGCTCAAGGGCAAAGGATAAGCAGCTCCAGAGGTCAATTCTCATTAACCAGACATCAGAGGCACAAGGCCGACACCTTAGCTTGCTAGTTTGTCTGTGATGGCACTTCCAAGGCAGGGGGAGAACAGGAGAGCGTGGCCTGTGATGGGAGCTGCCCACACCACAGCACCCAGCATGCCTGGTTTGAGCAGATACAAGCCCCCTCCCATGTGATATCCAGTTCTTTTTTTTTGCCAGATGGCAGAGTCAAAACCACGTCAGGGTTTCAGCATCAGAAAGAGCAGGGAGCAGTTTTAGCAGGGTGACATCCTGTGTACCCACACACTGGTTCCAGCTCTCATGCTCCCACCTCGGGCACATCGCCATGTCTCTGGGCTCATGACAAGCCTGTCCCGCTCTGAGTGAGCCCAGATAACTCAGATGGCTTAAGTCAAACCAAGCTCAGACTCAACCACTCTACTCCCACATTTTCACACAGGAGATGCAAGTGAGAAAAAGCCCAACAAAGAACCGGAGGACATTCACATCCTTCAGGAGCAACAGCCCCTGAACAGGCTCCCCCTCAGCCTCCCTTCACCACAGAAGTTTATAGATCACCACCATCTGTTGCAACGCCCAGATAAAGGGATGGCAGTCTTTAATTCAAGCCCGCTTGCTGCATTGCGGTGCTGAGGCACTCCTGTTCCTGGGAGGCAGGTGGGTGGGCATGTTTAAGCACATACACGTTATGGCCCATCTCCCTTCCCACAGCAGGCAAGAGACTCAGAAACCAGAGGCAGTGGGTTTGCAGCCTGCCAGTCAGAGCCAACCCCTGGCTGGTGGTCCCTGCTGCGATGGTGGACACCCCACCCCACCATTAGGGCTAAAATCAGACTGTGTCTAGAATTCTCACTGCAGCTACCTATCGAGTTCTCCCCATCGAAGGCACAGGAGCCGTCAGCTCCAAGGCTTCTCAATTAACCACCGACATCACAAACTGGCATGGTTGCAGCCAGCCTGTGCCCACAGAGGAGGGATGGTTCCTGGAGGGAGAGCTCCAGGGCACTCAGGGGTCCCAGTCCTGCGTCCCCACCGGGGACACCCCTCTCCAGCCACGTTCCTCACCATCACACCCCCTGGGGCTGCCATTCCAGGTGCATGAGGGCAACTGAAGGAGCAGAAAGCAGCATTTCAAGCTGAAAAGCTTGAAGACAATTTCACAGCTATGGAGAAACTCTCCTCTTCCCCCCCACACTCTCCAAAGCTGCCAGCATACCGTTACCAGGCACACCAAGTCACTTAGATGTAGGACAAGCCTTGGTGCAGTTCAGGTGGTAGAGGATTTGTTACGGAGTATCTTCACCAACCTACTTCAGAAACACGAGCTTCCCCCACCTCACTGGGGGAGCAATGGGGCAGACATCAGCTCTGAGCATAGACACTGTCCCACGGCTGAAAGCGGGCTTGTGGCTGGATACTGGGATTGCATGTCCCAGCTCACCCCCAGGCGCCTGGAGGAGCCAGAAGATCTCCAGGCCCACACAGGGTGGGCAATGCTGGGGGCAACAGGTCCAGGGCAGCCAGAGAGCCACCCCCATTTCAGCCCCACAGTCACAGAGCAAGCCCCAGCAGGAAGCCTGGAAGCTGCAGGCTTCTCATTCCCCCCAGGTTATCTAAAGGGTTTCAGAGGCACCCGCTTCAACATGTCAAACTATTTATCTTATTCCTAACCAGGTTTTGGAGCTTCTAACCATGACACCAGCCTCTCCATGAGCATCCCACAGGCAGACCGGGGACTTGCCTGGCTATCACGTACCAGCTCCTGCCCACAAACAGGAGGAGGGATGGGGGCAGCTGACAGGCACAACTGAGGCACGTGGTGCGGGGGGCAGCTGCAAGCTAAAAACAGCATCAGCGGGACAGGTCCAGCAAACCAGCACTATCAGAGCTGCTGCAACTGGAGCCACCTGAAGTGCAGAGCTTGTCAGCCTGACCGTCAGGAAGCAAAATGCACAGTCTGAGCCTTTCCAAGGAAATCTCTGTGCCAAGCTGCAGATAGAGCAAATAGGAAGAGCTTCTACATAGAACAGGCCAGTTCCAGTTACTAGAAACCCATTAGAAATGCCTCTGGAACCCAGTGCTACCAATGCCCCCACTTACCATGCTCCTGCTCTCTGTTTACCCAGACTACTTTGAATAAAAATAAAAAAAGAAGTCCATAACCTATAAGGGAAGTGGAAGAGCAGCAAGCAGAGAAGAAATGAATTACAAAGCCATGCAGAAGACAAGAGCCCTTCACCCCTGCAGTCCCCCAGGGATTCAGGGAAGCAGGCAGCTTCACATTCAGGCAGACACATCTTTAGCAATGCACTACAGCACACGCCAAATGCTGGAAATAAAAGGAGTCAACTCAGCCATATTCATCTCTGCATGAAGTAAAAATAGAGATGCCAGGAGCTGGGCACGTCTGCCTTCTTCCAAGGTGATTTAAGGAGAGCAGTCATAGACTTCAAATTACTTTTTCTGGTGACCCTATGAGCTGTTCTCCTCAGGGGAGCCGGTGTTGCATCTTGGGCAAGGGGAAAGCAGAGGACATGCATGGTGAACTTGTGCATGCCTGGATCCAGACGGATAATGGGGGAGGAGAGGGGGAGAAAGCACCGTGAGACTTTGCATCAGAGAAGTCTTAATTTCATGGAAACCAGCCATGGGAAGCCAGAGCCCCCTTTCTTCATCCCTCTCCATCACAGCCACAACAGGCAGATATCACAACATTTTAATTAGATTCCCTCAAGCTGCTGCCTGTATGCCCAGAGCTGCAGGGACCAAGAGCATCCCATGAGCTGGGAACGAGCTGATTTTCACCTTTGCACACCCCAGGTGACAGAAACAGCTCAGGGAGAAGGGAGTGATGGATCGCCCTGAGCCCCGATCACGACCGATGGCAGTGGTGACCTGCCCTTGACAGATTGATGGGCTGTCACAGCAGCAGCAGGAGACACCTCAGCACACAACATGACAGCCCAACCTAGGAGAAGAACCTCTGGGTTCAACAAAGATCACAAGTTTTGGTATGCCTTGAGAATTTCTGGCACTGTAAAGCCCCTGCCTTAGATCTGGATGAAGTCACCCACACCACCAGCAAAGCAGGACCAGATTGTGCTGGAAAATGGAAAGCCTGGGGA